ATAAGAGACAGGGCCTCACCAGTGCCGAGTCCAGGGGTAAGATCCCTTCCCTGTCCCTGCTGGCCACGCTATTGCTGACACAAGCCAGGATGCCATTGGCCTTCTTGGCCACCTGGGCACACTGCTGGCTCCTGTTCAGCCGGCTGTCAATCAGCACCCCCAGGTCCCTCTCTGACTGGCAGCTCTCCAGCCACTCCTCCCCAAGCCTGTAGCGCTGCTGGGGGTTGTTGTGGCCCAAGGGCAGCCCCCAGCATTTGGCCTTATGGAAACTCCTCCAGTTGGGTTAAGAAGCAAAAGGAGATATGGAGGGTCACTCAAAAGCAATCCCTAATATGAAGTTGCTTCATGTGCAGATGTTAGAAGCTGGGCCTGACAGCATCTTCTGTTTTATAACTTTTCACAGTTTGCCTGTGTTTTTGACAGGTGGCATTAGCTGTTTGATCACTGGAAACTGAGATGTGTACTAGATGAACTTTAACCTTCTTTTTGCTTTGTTCTTGATTCAATGATACAGTGTACTGGGTCTGGCAGAGCTGGAATTGGTTTCCCCTATAGCAGACTCAATGTGCTGTGTTTTATGTTGGGAGCTGGCAGGGTGTTGGTAGCACCCTGGTGGTGTGGCTACTGCTGAACATGGCTTACACAGCACCAAGGCTCTTTCCGACATTTTCCCCCTGCAGTGGGCCGGGGTCAGTAAGATTTTGGGAGGGGATACAACCAGGACAGCTGACCCGAACTAACCAAAGGGATATTCTGACGTCTGCTCAGTATAAAGCTGGGAGAAAGGAGGAACAGGGGGGGATCACCTTTGGTCTTCTGAGGCAACCACTACACGTATCGGAGCCCCCTGCTTCCTGAGAAGGCTCGACAGCGCCTCTTCATGGGAAGTAGAGAATAAATCTGGTTTCTGTTTTTGCTTCCTTGCACAGACCTTTGTTTCTCTTTGCTTATATTAAAAATGCTTTTGTTTTACCCACAAGGGTTGGGGTTTTTTTCCTATCTTATATTCTTTCCCCTCTTTGCCCTGTTGAGAAAAAAGGGGGAAGGGGAAATTGATAGAGTAAATTGGTGGGTACCTGGCATTCAGCCAAGGTCAAACCACCACATATGGAGAACTGCAAATGGAAAAATCTTTTGGTAGCCATAGAGACAAAAGCAGAATTATTTAGAATTGTTTTCCCAAGCAGCATATTTCAGTGGGGACTTCTCATCTGTTTAACAGGACTGAAACCAAAACTCCAGCAACAAAAATAATTTTCATAGGTGATCTCTTTATGGAGAAATCCCTGTCCTTAATATAAAAAAAAAAAAAAAATAAAAAAAAAAAATCCTGGATTCTAGATTTCTTAGTTATGTTTTTAAGGGCTATTTAGTTTTGAAAAAAATGCTGATGTGCCATATATTTTCACTGGTTACAAAATAGCGTAGGAACAAGTAATGTTTGTTAGTTTGTATAGTTCTGTTTGTTCTACAGATATTAGCATTCATGGTGTTTCCACACTAGATCATACATGTTCTTTGTTCTGCTTCTGAAATCAGCTAATAAAAATAAATAAATGATACATGGCTGCCTCTTCACTGATTGATTTAAATGTTCTCTATGCTTTTATCAATAGACTGTTAACTGTTGACCCTTTTGTAGTTATTTGCACCATCAAAACTGCATTTTTCTTTGTAAAGGCCGAATTTCCCTTCTCAGATTTATGCTTCTGGGTTGGTTTTTTTTTTCAGTGTTTCAGCTAAAACAGTTCCCTTGAGTTACCAGCATAAAGCTACTAAATGCTTAGAGGAATTCTTTAAACAAACAGATTTAAACAAATGTAGAGGCTTTACCTGTATAGGCTGTGGAAGGGATCAGAAAATCAGCAGTCTAGAGCAAAAATGAGATAGTGTCTCTTGTTTTCTGGACATGAGTAACTATTGTTCATGTCTCTCAGTCATCACAAGATGTGTTTTGTCTAGTGGGTTTGATTTAGCCATCCTCCTATTTCCAGATTTTCTCTGGCAGAAAAGTTTCCCCAGGGGGTGGTAAGAGGCAAGTTAATAAAATGGTTGTAAATGTCTAGAATTGTAGTGGAGATTCACTTTGGTGTCAGTTTTATGTCTGTTTTGTATAGTTGGAGGACATGTTGTGTTTAGTACCTTCATGGCAAGAATAATTTTGGATAGATCATTGTCTTTTCTAACAATGCTTTCCTGGGTAGTAATAGCTTATAATGTTTATTATTGTTCCATTAGGATAATAGGGAAAATTCTGCCTTTTGTTTCTAAATGTTTTCTGTCAATTTTTCTTTACTTTTTAACATTTCTTTTATACAGGAGAAAATTTTTGACGGAGAGCTTATACTTGCATCTTTATTCAGTAGTCTATTTTTCTTTTTTATACACGTTTATCTTACAAACATTTAATTTTCATATAAAAATATCAAAGTTACGTTCTGAATTATTAAATCCATAAGGCCAGTTGGCTAGCTTGAGCATTTGTTTAAAAATACACTTTTTTTTTCCCTCCCTTTAACAGATTGGTCAATTTTCTGAGTGTAGTGTCTGAAAAGTGAGTGCCTTTTTGATCCAGAGCTACAGTAGAGACAGTTGGGATGTTGAAATGTGGCATATTTCCTGAACACACATACTCGAAGTAAAATGCATAGCTAAAATGGAAACTCATTTAACACTAGATTTATTTCTTGGATTTCATTATTAAATGAGATGAAGAAAAGGTTGGTAACTTAGCAACATATATTGTGCAAATATTTTATAAATGCCAAAACAATATCAAGCCTTCATCTATCTGTAAAGTGTTACAAATCAGAAAGCCATAGAATATAGGATATTCCACAGACTTCATTGTGAATTTTAAGCTGTCTGTCCCAAGGTCTTTTCTATCAATTACTTTGCAAAAGGAGACTTTCTGGAATAAATGGACTAAAAGTCATAGGATATCTAAGTGCAGTCAGTTACCTAAGAGAAATCTGGCCTAGAACAGAATGTTTCATGATGTACATGATTATCTGTAATCTAGTCAATGATAAATCTCTATTAAAAAAAAAATAATAAAAAAATAGAGAATTCAGTGAAGCAAGTAATACAGTTGTACCTAGTGACTTTGTAGTCCTGAAATACTAGCTTGATTACCTAGTGTAGTAAACATATTAGGTTAGTTTAGTTATTAGGTTTTTGCCTAGTGCATTTAGAAAGAGCAAAACAAAAGATACAACTGATTAAGGATATTATGGTGAACTTCACAGTATTGCACAAGAGCTGTGTGAATGTGACATTATACATGGCTGAATCCGAATGAATCAAGGGAATTATTTGCAACAAGCTTCCAAGTGAAACTTTGTATGGGACTTCTGTGAGCAAGATGTTCTGATATCACTGATTATTTTGTAGAAAAAAAAAAAAAAAATAGCAATAACAGAGCTGGGGGTTTTTCCTCCCCCATTTCTCTATCAAGATCATGCTTTTCATTTAATACCTTTAACTACTTATTGTGTTTCTATTTCTTTTCTCTGAACAAGGCCTATTCTAAAAAGTCTTTGTTTCTCTGTACCAAGTAGAATATTATGCATCCTTCCTGTGTTAGTTTAGAAATTGTGTATTTTGATTAGTTCTCTTTGTTTTTTACCTTTTGCTTCAGTAATTCAAGCTTTTGGAAATAAGAGTACCCATCCTTTTTCACTCCTTATGTTGCACATTACCAACTGGAATGCCTCATGCAAAACTAGTGAATACTTATAAATTAACAGAAATATTTAATCCAGGCACTGCTAATCCAAGGAAATTTTACAAATGAGTAGGCTTCATTTTTTTATGTAACCTGCTTATGATACTTTTTAAAGAAAAGAATTTACCTAATATCTCTTTGAAGCAAAACTACCAAAAATATAATATGTCTTTTTGCAGAAGAAAAATTATAGTATTAATTGATTCATTGGTATTCTCGTGATAAACAGAGTGGTAATCTCTCCTTCACATTTGTGATTACAAATCTCAGCTAAATTCTGAGAATAGGAATGAAAACCTAAAAGATTTTTTTGAAAGGCTTTATAGGGTCAAATAAATGTGGCACTATCAGAACTGTTCATGATTTACACTGATCAAAGCTTCTTCTGGACTCAAAAGTTCTGATGACCAGCTGTGCCTTGTAAGGAGCTCCAAGGGACATCTGCTAATTTTTAAGATGGAAGATCTGACAGGCAAAATGTAATTTTCCTTTATCCTTGTAGTTCACTCCTTACTTCCCCTCATATATCTATCTCTACTCTTATTTATAGCCTTACTGATTTGTCAGAATGTTACTAGATGAGCTATTTTTTCTACTTCACTCTTTTTTTTTTTTTAAAAAAAAAAAAAGTCCTAGAAAAGCCACCTTGTCTCCTTGCTCAGTTGTTCCTACACAGTATTTGAGTTTTATCCTTGCCTTGCCTGTCTTCATGTTCTCTTTTCTCAGAGTGTCCCTATTTCAGTGTTTTGTTAAGTTAGTTTATTCTTCCCTTCCACAGCAAACCCTCATCAATTTGTATACCCTTTCACTAACCCATGCATAATTTATCAGAGGTCTCACACCTTCCAGTTTTCTGAACTTAGTTTCAGTTCTGTTTGGTGCCCCTTTACTTTTGGTCTCTGTTTCTGTCTCTCACCCCTCTCTGTCCTTTCCACCTTCTCTCAGAACTTATCTTCCGTTCAGTTTTTTTTTTTTTTTTTTTAGCTCTTATTTGATATAGGCAGTTTCCACAGTGTCCTTGATCAGGGAACTGAAGACTTAAAACAAGATGAAGTGTTACACTGATCCTGATATGCTGTAGGTGTAGCAATCCACCTAGAGCATGGTCAGTGAAACCTTACTGAACCTAGGTAATTTAGGAGACTAAAAAGTCTCTGCTAAGAATGTGTGATGTCAGGCTTACTTGATAAAAAAAAAAAAATCATCTAAATAGATTTTTATAGGACTAGTTAGATCAATGTATTTAACTTGAGAGCTGTGTTGTAATATGTTTCATAGCCTGCTTTTAAATTGTTCATGTGATGGAATGCTTTCATGCAAGAGAAAAGGCACACACAAGCAATTTTTTTTTTCTTATACACTTATGGTTCAGCCAAAATATTTTGGGAATCTCAATCTTGAAAGGAACTGAAAACACTGATTTCAATGGAATTTGCCTAAATGGGTTTATAAGTCACTGCACTCCTGTCTGTAGCAAAATATAAAACTAATTTTAATTTAAATTCAGTATGATACATATTCGTAAGGAAATTCTGAATGTAATAACCATTTCTCTCTCTTTGTAGCTACATTTTCCTTTCATCTTAGTTTTTGAGTGACTGACAATATCCTGCTGTGACTTTTACTAAATAGAGTAAATATAATATCCAGCATTTTCTAAAGCTGCCAATTTTTAATAACAGTTAAATGATTTCTGTACTGGTATCTTATATTTAGACAGTCATCCTTACTCTTCTTTTGCCTTCGGTAGCAACATGTTTGATTTTCATTTTATGCATCCTTTCTGGTTAGGACCGCACTGAGGTGTTTTGGTTGGTTTTTTTTTTAGATACTTCAAATCTACTTGTCTACATAGAATTCTGAATTGTGCTATAAGCTATATAGAGGTGCCCCCAACTTCCTACTTAAATTCATAGGAGCTCTGAGGATGCAAAGGCAGAATATAGGTATGAAGTGCGTGAAGTTTAAGGTTAAACATTCTTCATCCTTGTTCTCAATTACAGAATCTTTTGGCTGAGAAGGTGGAACAGCTGATGGAGTGGAGCTCAAGGCGCTCGGTCATCCGCATGAATGGAGACAAATTCCGAAGATTTGTGAAGGCTCCACCTCGTAACTACTCTGTGATTGTGATGTTCACTGCTCTGCAGCCACAGCGTCAGTGCTCTGTTTGCAGGTAATTTATACTTCAGTGATTTTTTTCATCTTCCACACCACAGTTTTCAAGTGAATGTTTTAATCAATGCACAGTACACTGAGTAGGATTGTTCTTTGCATGGGGTAGATGCTTAATATTTAACAGGCTCATGTATTTGTTACAGCATCTTTTCAACTGTCCTTTAATCTGTATGTCAAATTATAAAGTCTTCCTAGTTTGGGGGTTTATTAAATTGCAGTTGAATAAAATGTACGCAACTGTGGAAGATGTTGTCTTTAAGAAATGTGCTTTATTTTATTATCAGTTAACCATGATCTTTACAAAGATGTTTTGAGACAGAAGCGATTCATTTCTTCACTTAATAGATATACAAGGCTGTGATACAGGTGGGAGTTACTCTGTGATTTCACAGCTTTGGAGAGTTCTTACATGCAAGCATGTTTCCACAAGGACATGCTTATTGTGGAATACTGTCTGGCACTGCACTTTGATATGTTCTTGTGACTTCTTTTAGAATATGTGTTAGAGCGGCTCTAGTATTCTTCTTAGTTCAAGATCTTTCTCTGCAAATTGCTCGTTCAAGAAGTTAATCCAAAAATCACTAATGGTAGACAGGGAAATAGGGCCAAGGGACTGAAAGGTAGCCATGAACTTAATTACCTTGCTAAACCAGAAACTGAGCTAATAAAACCTTCTTCAGCCAAAACATGCATTAGAAATTACTGTGTTTATAGATTGGATTATTGTGTACAGAGTTCTAAACAGTATTAAATAGCCAGCAAAATACTCTGTAGAACTATGAAATACATAAGCTGTATGTGAAGAGATATTATTTTTTGGTTTTAAGTAGGTGCACTTTAAATGATACACAAGCAGCTTTTTAGATTTTTTAGGAGTTGGAATGTAACACTTACATTGAAACTTTAAACTCATGTACCTGTACTTATATGTGGGTTTTATTAGATTTTTTTTCAATATATTAATTTTTTTGTCATTGGTCAGTTGGACAGTTTTGAGGAAGAGTATATAAATTGCATTCCCATGAGTTCACCCTCCACATGTGATCTGTGAAGAAGTACAGAAACTGTACAGTGTTCTTAAGTTAAAGGAATTTTTCCTTTAAAACTTCAAGCATTTGATTGCTGTTGTTTCTTTGTGTTGCCAAAGTTCAACTTTAGGAGACAAAATAGGGGCTGAAAGTTTACTATATTTTTTTAAATCATTCTTATTTTCCTACCCAGTAGATAAAGCTACAGGAGATGCGTTAAGTTCAGCTGTGTAAGGGTCAGTGTATTTATTCGTCATTATAATAGCCATAGCAAATGCTTTCCCTGTGTTATATACAGCTCTTTTGTGGGGCATGTGAAAACAACATAAATATTGCCATTATTAAGGAATTTATTTTTGCTTACAACTATATATTGTTTACTGTATTGAAAAAGAGCTTACAAACTTCATCCTGTAACATGCAAGGCTAACCGTTTATGTACAGAAGCTACTGAAAATCTGTAAGCACAAAATGAAGGAAAAAATCAACATATTACTTTCAGTTGGGTTTGTTTAAATAAATGTGAAGTTGTTATCCACTTCTTCATGTGAAATAAAAGGAATTTAACGAGTTTGATTGTACTGCACATAAAACCATTATCAGGAAAATCGACATGTTCAAATCAATCGCTAATTAATGGACAGGAGCACTGGAAGGATACATGAAACTGAAATGCATGTGTTACTTTATTGTTAGCTATTTGCTAGCCACTTTGCCTAAAGGAAAAATAGATTTTTAACTTAATCTGTAATGTTCTGTGAGGATGCTTTTGTCCAAGATAGAAGTTAACTGTTACTCATCAAAATATTTTCAGAACAATTGCATACAAAAAAAAATCAATGTCGTATTTCAAATACAAAAAAGAATATAGACTAAAATCTTTGAGTAACTTTGTCACAAGAATTGCAAGAATTAGTACTTTTTTTTTTTTTTAACTATAAAATTGAGCCTGGTTATACACCACAGGATTCTTTAAAAAAAAATGGTTTTGTCTTTTCCCTTTGGTGGCTAGATTTGAGATTTCAGTATTTTATGTCTTCTAAATGTCCAGTTTATAAAGAACAGGGGTGCAGTATTTTCAAAAAGGAAAAAAAAAAAGATGTTTGTGTGCTGCTGTTGCATAGAGCTACATTCCGAGGCATGACATTAAACATTTTGTAAAAGTCTTACCTATCCTTATACCTGCATGTGGAAAGCTGACCAAACTTGGCTCAGAAAATCCAAGGCTTTTCTGTGCACAGCAAGGAGGACATTGTAACATCAATCCCACGAATTATTTAACACTTATGTGTTGTGGAGGTATATGGAAGTAATACCAATTTACTCGTAAAATGGCACATAAAAAGAAGTCTTTGTGACTCCAGATATTAGGATGAAACCTTTTTTATGTAAAAATTATCCTTTCAGTCAAATGAGAATGATTGTTTTTCAGTAAAACCAAAGCATATTTTGTGTTTTGTAGGTATTCTCTAGCAAAAGATTACTTCACATAGGATCTTCTTTTTTTTTTTTTCAATGTAATGAAGAGGGTTTCTTTATCATTGCAGGAGATAATTTACATAATCTTCTGCATCATCTTGAGAAAGATCAATTAGAAGAATTTTCTGAATGCTTTGTTTGCCAATTTTTTGAAACTTACCTGTTCATTCAATGCTAGCGCTGTTTGTTCATGATATACATCTTATTGTTGTATTTGCTTTCCCTTCACTTAATTTTGCTTGATTTACTTCTAATTTTTGACATGATCCCTTTTCAGTATATACTTTTAAAAGTTGGAAAACATGTATGAATTACTGATTGGAATTTATTCTGTGCCCAAAAGAAATTATGTTGATTTATAGGTGTTTCTAAAAGACAACTACCAGTTGGTCATCTTTGAGACTGAGATTGGTTCTGCATCCTTCTTAATGAAACATTTTCACAAACTTTAATCTGTAAAATATATCCATAGGCCATCTGGATACATGTTGGTAGTGCCTCTAGTCATGCCTTTATAGTATTTTTCAAGTAAATTCTGTCTTTATCCTACAGTGAAATTTGGAGTACAACATTTCCGTCTAGCTTTGTGGACAAGCAAGTTGCAATTTTCTGGTCCAAAAAACTATTGAAAGCCATCTGATGCCTTCACAACTGTGTAAGTGGTAGCATAAATATGAGCTTTCCAGTTGAGGTTCAGTATGGCATAGCTGGTATTGAGAGATGAATTAACCATAGCAGATTAGATATCCTTTGTGCTTTTGAATGTGAAGTCATCAGTGAGGGTGGAATGTGTTTCTAACAGTTGGAAGATGTGGGTTTTCTTCCATGCACATTTGGAAACGCGTTTGATTAAACAGTTTTGGTCCCAGGAAATTAAACTTGGTTAGTCTTAATTGACTTTACGTGTTATTACTATTCTTGGTATATATACTCTGCAACAGCACATTAGAAGCAGATACTAAAGGGCCCTTTGATGCACTGTGATGATGAATCAGTTTGGATTCTTTTGGTTTGGATGAACAGTCAAAGAATGTAATTCTAAGCAGTGACTCCCCAGGATATAAGACCAGCTTCTGTTTTTTTCCTTTGTGCTTTACATATTCACTCAACTACATAGTTTCTCTCTCTTACCCACATCAGTCACACTGCTGAAAAAAATTACTTATGTATGTAAGAAGGAGAACAAAAGAACGGCCACTCTCACAATAGCGTCTTCACAGAGATGAAGAGACTGTTTCTCAGCCTGTACTTTGTATTTCATCCAGGCAGATAGTAACTACTAGCCTAACTTGAATGCATTTTTGGGTGAAAATTCTCTTTCAGCTTCTCTGCCCTTTGTCATCCTGCCTCTTGCAATCTATCCCCTCATTTTATTATTACTACATTTTCCCAAAGGCGTCAGCACCATTTTACCAACTATACTTAAAGGACTGCCCCCTACTCCACTTGATTGAGTCTTAGTGCGTTGATTTTCAGCTGCTTATGGGCTTTAGCTGTAGCCTGCTGGAACCATCACTGTGCTGCCTGTTCCTCTGCATTCTTCATTGTTATCATTAACTGGTTCTTTTTTTGTTTGTTGCTGTACCATCTAATGACTCCATAAGAAAATTATATAAAGTATTTTATTTTACTTTCTAAGCTCTGCTTTTGTCATATCACTGCAGAAGCAGCCATCTCTGTTTTGTGTACAGGTGCTTATCAGAGATGTCTTGTTTGTTGCCAAACAGTTCACATATTTGTCTGGTTCATTTTCCAAATTCGTTGCTGGGGTATCTTAATTTAGAAAGGGATATCTGGGTCAGAGAAATTAAACTGGTCACTTGAGGTTTTTTTCCCCAACACCTGAAGCCCATCAGCAAAAAGATGCATATTTTGTTTCTTTTTTTTTTTTCCCTTAATATTCCTTAGCTTCCTTGAAAAGATCAGAGCAGTGTCAGAGGCTAAAGATACTGAGTTTCAGTGGATAGGGACTGTATCTTGACCTGTGCCACTAGTTTGTTATGAGATAATGGTTCAAACGTAGGAATTAGACATGTACATCTTGCTTTGAATATCAGGCTACCTGAAACAAATGGATTTTGTTTTGTATAATTTCTACTATGTTTATTTATGCCTGTGAATTCCCGAATGACAGAATCATTCAGGTTGGAAAAGACCCTTTGGATCATCAAGTCCAACCATCAGCCCTACTCTACAAAGTTCTCCCCTACACCATATCCCCCAGGGTATGGTGACTCCACTTCTTCCCTGGGCAGCCTATTCCACAGTCTGACCACTCTGTGAAAATTTTTTTCCTAATGTCCAGTCTAATAAACCTCCCCTGTTGCAGTTTAAAGCCATTCTCTCTTATTCTATCACTAATTGTCTGTGAGAAGAGACCAGCACCCACCTCTCTACAATGTCCTTTCAGGTAGTTGCAGAGAGTGATGAGGTCTCCCCTCAGCCTTCTCCTCCTCAAACTAAACAGTCCCAGCTCCTTCAATAAACAGGA